TTTATTGTCTTAATTAACATTAAACTCGCTATATTAGCGATTGAAAGCTTATCAATTATTAGGCCGGCGGAAAGTGATCTGTAACGGCCAACGAAGCGCATTGACAAAATAACATATTATGATTAATACACAGCGTCCCTGTGACCCCGTTACAGATTATGATTTCAATCGTCAATATTTATGACGAGCTGCCGTGTCCTCWGTGATATACTTTTATCACAACTCTGCCAAAATGGAAAAGTCAATTTGAAAAAATGATTTCACAGAAAATATAATATTGTATACGACACCAAACAGCTAACGACACCTACCTGACAACTATAATAAAGTAATAAACAATATTTTAGTCACTGATAACTCCTTAGCTATGCTTTTCTGTATAATATTTTAAAAATTAAAATCAATGTTATTATCTACATCAAATTTGAGGTTGGTCCAACCTTTTGTAGTTAGCAGGCTAAGTTACGTTATTTATAAACACTAGAGKGGCTGCCAAAAGAAATCATTTATTTTTTTCATATTTTGTTTTTTAACAAACATATTATAATAGCATAGTATTTATATWGTTATRCAGTATTAATTATAACGATGAATAAACGAAAACAAAATAGAAGATTTATCTATTAATTATCCATTTTGTAATTTTACAATGTATATATGATTTGTATAATAAGTTTTTCCTAATTATTAAGAAATTAACTTTTAATTTTCAATTTCACCAGTACTTATACTAAGGCACTATAAATGTACTTACTATGAAAATGTTCTATACTTCTTTAGTGCCCTACCTATACCAGATCCAATTTACAATCAGCAATCAAAGTTGAAGATGAACACCGTGAGATTCTATAAAATATCAAGGAAAATAAGATGACTTTGGACTTTATTTATATAATTTTATTTATCTAACGTTCCTTGATAACCTCRAAATAACCATGACACAATATTAATTCAAATAAATAGCATATGAATAAGTTCACCTCTCATCAAATGATTAGTATCTATAACCATTCTCACGATATTAGGCGCTTAACTATGCACATTACAATGTACCATGACAAAATAAATAGGTATGATCATAGATTTTTGAAACGCTTCCCTGGCTCCTCACTTCACCATAGAAAGTGGTGGGAGATTTTCGCCACTTTTCATTGGTTGCTGCTCTGCTGGTATTCCACTGAAAGAGATTGACGGTTATCAAATATATTATAATATTTATTATTTATATCATGACAAAATAAATAACAATTATTACAAAATTCAAATTCTTACAAATTAATCACGAATCCGTCGTAATGATTAATATCAAATGACAAAAGACGAAAATCAATTATCAAATATGCATTTAAGTATAGAACAACGCTTTTACATTCAAAACAAAAAAAGACACCATAAAGAATAAGCCAATCAAAAGACGCGGAAGGCTCCCACTCTGTTCTGCGCAGACTGGACAAAATTCAGTTTGTTGTGATCATACCAAATAGGTAAATAATTTTGTCATGACAATGTGCAATGGGATTAGACAAATTTTTATACAATATTATGTTATAAGGATATCCTAACGGATATCGATTACATTGCATAGAGTAATATTACTCTATGTTACATTGAATATTTATCAATTTTTAATTAGCTGACAACAGCTGTCACAAATTAAAATATTTTTAAATTGTATATTTTATGTGTTGCTGTTGTTGTTGTATTTATTTTACACTTTTACAGTTGTAGACATTTAGTTAATTTATAATGATTCGAGAAAAAGATATTGTAAGGTTACTTGGTACTGGTTCTGATTCTGATATGTCATCACTAGGGCTGGGATTTTAATGTCCTCAAAAACCCCGAAAAATGTCCTAAAAAAAATGCTTTTATAACCTAAAAACTCTAAATAATGCCCTAAAAAACCCCGAAAAATGCCCTAAAAAAAGGGCAATAAATCTACAAATTCTTTTATTTTTAATAATTTTAGTATAAATTACAATAAAAAGTCACTCAAACTTTGTCCGATAATATGCTGCCAAGTAGGCGGTTTTTTGTATTTTTTAGTTAAAATGTTGATTTAATTTTTTAATTTTTTAATTATTAATGTTTATTGTTACATAAATAAAATTTGTTTACGTTTATTTTTTTATGTTTGGTAAAATTGATTTAATTTTTTTATCAATAATATGGTTTTTACCTTTTTTTTTWAAAACGATTTTTTAAAAATAATTTATTACGATATGTGCACAAGAAGACAATATATATCTTTGTTTCATAAATTAATAAAATCTTATAGTTTATGAAACAATAAACACCTAAATCCCATTGTACATTATAATGATGTGCATAGTGTTTTATGCTAGGAGGACCAATGTACATTGTAATGTACACTATGCACGCAAGTATATCCATAATGGTCCAATGGCCATTATAATGTGTATAGCTGTATCTTTGAACCAGATGGTCAGAATCTCTTCAAACTTGAAGAGAACCTTAATCAAGTACCTTTTATAATATAAATAAATCGCTAATATTTTCTCTACTACAATTAATTCGGGGCTGAAAAGTACTTACCTAGTTACCTACCTATTAAGTTTAGATTTAATTAATATATATTTTATTTTTAATTGTTTCTGACATAATATCCATAATGTCTTTCACTAATTCTTTCATAGAAAAAGGCATAACAGTTATTATAGCAGAAAGCGAATTTTCATCCAACCAGGGCAGGATTGGACAAATTCGGCCCAAAAAGTTTCTTATGATTTATCAGCCCAAAATTCCCCACATAAAACTTAATATCATATACCATATACATACAGTGGTCTGTGTAAGTCCAAAACTTAGACTACATTTTTTCAACTTAAATATTTTTCAGTCTGTTGACTTAAACGGTCCAAAATTGTCACGGCCCATTGACTTTTACTCGGTAACTCACCGGGCCAGCCCGACCCTGCTTGTGAATGTGGAGATTTATCGAATTTTATTCATCACCTAATTTAGTCTTTATTTTTCTACATTATAATATTATTGTGTTTATTAAGTTTATTAAGTATTATGATCATCTTATGTTTGTGTCCATATATTACTAGCGCTATTATTATTGGAAGTGGTGCAATTATGGGGGGGTCCAACCCCCCCAAACACCTAAAAAAAATTTTTTATATTGGTATTTTATCTTCTGTGATACTGATTATTTTTRAAGTAATCTTTTTTTTGCATATTTCGATGATGGAATTAATACCAATTTGAAACAAAATAAAAATGACGTTTAGTTTAACTAATAACTTTTAATTTGTGTCATAAATATATTAAAACCCCCCCCCCAGAAAAAATCGTATCTACGCCGCTGATTATTGGAATCTTAAAACCGGACTCGACAAGAAGAAGCCTCATTACTACGTTTTTTTTAACATCAGTTATATCATTTTTTCACACTTTGGTTCAATATGTACGAAGACCAATTTATCGACCAATGATGAATTACGATTATTATATTGTATGCATTATCCAATAACCCTATTTTTATTTTTTTATCATCTAAAGATTTAAATATTTCTGTGAATACTAGTTGCTTCCTAAAACATAAGAATTGCCTCCCATTCTTGTCGCAAATAAAAGGTAAATATGTATACTAATATTCATAATAGTTGCCTCCGATGATCAAGTAGTTAATTATTAMGAGTTTCCTCCCATTTAGAATTAAATAGTGGTTCATAAACTTCACTATATTTGATATCACGTAAATAGATATATTAAACATCGCTGGTTTAAGTGTAGCTATTATACGGAAAGAACTTCATACTTATAAACTAATTTAATATTAAAATCATGAATATTATATTATATAATATATATATTTATAAAATTATCGAATCTTTTAGGAAGCATATAAACAAATTTTAATACCTGCCCATTGGGAGGCAACACTATAATATAGCCCATTTTCGTTTAAGATAAAATTTAGGGTACGTATTTGTATTTAGGAGAGAATTCGTAAATACATTATTGACTTCTTTAACTTAGAGAGGCAATTAGTATGTGTCTAAATATTTAATGATCCATTCTTTTGGATTAATTTTTAAAATGTTATTCTTATAAATATTTCTAAAATCTTTCACATATTTTTTCTTCACTTTTAGACTTTTATATAGTAATTTAATCGAATAAAATATTCATTTCCATTTTAAAAAGCAAGTAGTTATAACATTTTTTTTTCTAATTGACAATAGAATTATACAATAATGCAATATAAAAAATATTTCTTGAAGAAATACAACTGATGAAAACAAGTGTATATCGAAAACAAAGTTATAAAATATAGTTCTAATTTAAAAGTTATCAAAAATGTTTGTTTGTTTTTCAAAAATATATTTSTATACTACATCAGTGTAAAATATTCTAATTATTATAATTTGAAGTAAGTAAATAAATATCATAGGTATACAAAATTAAATTACGTCCCCGTCGTCTATGCATACATATTACATTTCAATTGCATAAAATTACTTTGTTTTATTGTAAAACGAACACAAATACTTATAAAGGTAATAATACATAACTAAACTATATATTGCACTTAATTTCGATATGGTATTATTTCAAAACATAAACAATAATGGTTATAATAATAAAAATGGCGTATAATATGTTATTATTTTCTATCACAGTTTTAATTTATACTTTAAAATGGAAGGAAAATAACATTTTTAATTAAATAGTTAGATGATTACAATATTTGGATTTGGTGGGCTAAAGGTGTTATGAGACCTACATGCTCGGCTCCTTTGGCTGGAAGCTTGTTGAGTGTATAATGTTTAATGAGATCAGGTATAGTTTCAAAAGGTCTATCCGATTGGCCCAAATAATTTCTTTCTCCAGATTGTGTTATCCTCATGTGAATAAAACCTTTAGCACTCCTGAAAAAAGACGAAATAATAATTATTAGACATTGCATAGTTAATACAAAATGTTTAAGGTTTTTAATGCGGTATACCTAAACTTAAAATCCAAAAGAAGTGCACTGTATAAGAAGCATAACAAAAATATAAAAGTGCTTGGAGTTTTGTATGATATGAAGTTCTAAATGTTCTAATTGATGTTCGGTTTATGTTATACTATTTTTTGGTATTATTAATTATTAAAATTCCTGGTTGTAAGAACAATCGCTGATAAATAATTTAATGAATTAATAGAAAGTCTTTAAATATGATTGGGTGACCCATGATTTTTTCATAAAATGTTAGTGAACCATAAAACAATCAATATTTTATGCTGACACACTGTTATATTAGTTTTATTATTTGTTATGATTTTATTACAAGTATTTTTATTCATTACAACTCAATATTTTAAGCATTATATTATTAACTATGTAATTAGTAAGTAGTAACTTGGGTTATTGATGATAAGTGATAACACATATGCCATAATAYAGATATTAGATATATTCATATATTGTCAGAAGCGCGAGTTAGAATCATAATATTACAGCAACATTGCTAACCACTACCGACAACACATTATCATCCTCAAGTTTATTAAGCATGTATCATATACTAATGTATAAATTGTATTACTGTTATATTATAGGTAATAAAAAAATTTTTAATTGGTTTTAATAAATTAGCTTAATAATAAAGGTAATCGAAATAAAAATTTCCGGAAATAAAACAGACTACAATATTACTTACAAGTTACAACCACGTGAAAATGATTTTAATATTTTTTCTAATTTTACAAATTATAAATAATTTTGTATCAATTAAACTAGACACAATACGAATATGAGATAAAAGTAAACAGGTCATGAGGTTTAGTTGAAAGAAGCCAACCATTGATAACACTTTCTTTTAGCTTGATCATAAATTTAATTTATTTTAATTTAAGAGATCACGAAATTTTAATATTAAATTATAAATAATTTTAAATAAATTCTTWATAGGTTTGTATTTAAATAAATATTTCGAATGATCGAGTTAATAATATATAAAATATAGGTGGCCCACCAATAATAATAATCACAGTTGGTTATTAGATTATTTTCTAAAGGCGCGTCCACACGAGAGCACGCACAAGCTGAGCATGTGTAACGAGTGTCCAAATTATGTTCGTGAGCCCATTACAGATAAGATAGGTAGGTATAACCTTTTACCTTATAGTTTATCAAGGTTTATATAGTTATCAAAGGTACACACTACACCACACAATTACACAACAAAAACCGTAACATTTAAGTTCTTATATAGTTATATCTTATAATATATTATCGTCAAAATGTTATAGAAAACGTTATATTTTAKTTTAGGGTATTATATATACATTAATGTATTAATTTTTTGAAAGAAAAGTATAATATATAATGTATAATACATATTATACCTATTAGTAAAAAATATTCATAAAAATCATTTTCGTAATAATGTAATTTGGGGATTTTTATTTTGGGATTCATAATATAATATAATATAATGTTTTAATTCATGATTAATCGACGATCATATTTTAAGTATACCTTAATTTATAAAGAGCACATTTTTTTTTTGCTACCATCACTGACAAGGACCAGAGCTTGGGACTACGACCCGGACTACTTAAACATTTCTTCCTCTGAACTAGAAACACACACGAGATTTTTTCGGAGTAGGTTGTGCCAAAAATAATATTCAGAAATTACTCAAAACTTATACTAKAAATGGAGAGTCAGAGAGAGTGAGAGAATAATTTATTTTATAAAAATGCATTTTCATGAAGTAAAACTAGGGCAGATTATTACTTTGTAACCCCTCCACCTTCTGTGAGCCCCATTGCTCAGGAGTTTACCAACCACGTTTGTCCTCAAACTTGTCCTGCCAAAACTTTAAAACGTACCTACATAGCTGTTACCTGTTTGTATAACTGAATATATTTTTAACGAAAATTAAAAATATAACTTTTAAAATATTTAAATAAATTATCTCTATAAATGTTCTATTCTCTATTGYATATTTTTAAGAAATACGAAGGCAACATTTTAATTCATATTATGTTGGTAGCTTATAATATAACATATAACACGTTTTGTATTTGTGCACTTTTTTATTATTGTATTTACTTTCATGTTAAATTATATTTATAAGTTGTTATGTAATATTATCCGTATATATGGTTATCAGTTAATCAGGGCCTGATTTAGGCATTTTGTGGCCTTAGGCAAAATAAAAATGTGGCCCATTGCCATCAGTAGTATATATGGTACCTGGTACCTATACAATTATACATACATTTGCTGTGACTGGTGGCCGGTGACCTGTATGGCGTTTCTAATATGTATAAAAATATACTTTTATTTTGTTTTCATTTATATTTTGTACGCTGATAGAATTAATTATTTTATTTTTTGAAATATTATATTATTTTGATATTTATTTTATGCGATGAAAGTGTGTTCTAAAAAAAATAAGGCTTAAAAAAATTCGAGGCCCCCTTATAACGGAGGCCATAAGTCTATCCTGCCTAATGGTAAATATGATCCTGCAGTTAATAATTGTCRAGCCATAATAATCCAGTACTAAAAATATTTATATTTCTTTAGCTTAAATAATTTAGGTACATAAACTAGAAATATAACTAGAAATGTACAGTAGTAGATTTAATATATTATTTAGGATACCTATTAGCACTTATGGGATTTTATTTATCAGTTTTAATTTTGTTATTAATAGGTACTCTGAATTCTAATATAATTAATAGCAACTAGCAAGTAATGTGTATATTGCATGTTATTATACCTACTTAGTTGTTGGTATTAATAGCATAATACACTATTATAAGTACTATTCAAGTATTCCTAGTATTAGTGTTAAGTGTACATAATAATATATTATATATAWTATATATCATAAACATGCCTAATGCTTAGGAAGATTTCTGTAAATAGTGTAAATACTATCCAATTTTACATTATTAGATACAATGTCAATCAGTAGGTAGGTATCTATAGAGGTACATGGGTTAGAGGGAAATAAGGTATTTTTATAGCACAAAATAAAAAAGTTTCATAAAGCTTCATTATAACATATACGATTTTAAAGTGATAATTATTTGTATTAACAACATTATTTGTGAATCATATTTACTTTTAATATACAATTTACATACTTAATTGATAACGCATATGATCCCTTGTTTCCTCTTACTAAATAGGTTCCTTCCTTTTGACCATGCAAAGCTTTTTCTGCTTCAAGTCTGTTCATAGGTCCGTGATACCAACTAAAAAAAAAAATGTATTTATTAATTTTATCCATAATTATTGATTATTATTAATATCTAATACTTATTTTAGATACATCAGTAGGTATTTATATTTTCCTACACCAAGAGGTACACGTTGTCTTGGCATTGTAACGTTCATATAGTTTTGTGATTTAGATATAATAGTTAAGGCTAAAGAGTAAAAATACATTCCATAATATACCACTWGATTAATTTTTTGACTATATATTGTACCGATCAAATATAAGCATACATTTTTAATGGCTATTATTACTTTAAATTGAAGAGGGGCGCAACATCCGTATTTGTTGTTTCAGTCATAGGTACAAACGCGTAACATAACAAATTTGCACTCATGTTTTATTCCGTTAGTATAAAAATTAGAGTGAAATAAGTCCTTGTCATCAAGTTTCATAATAGGTCTATTCACTCTAATTTCTAAGCTTCGGAACAAAACGTGATTTGTTGAGTGCAAATTTGTTAAGTTAGGTACGCATTTGCAAGACTAAGACAACAAATACGGGTGTTGCGCCCTCTTAAGCATAGCTTATTATTAAACTGTACATATATATCCAGTTTGAGTTTAAATTTAACTTAATTAATGTCGGAATTAACTTTTTCCCATTTTGTGTGTTAGCTATAGGTGTTCTAAGTGGGGATTAATTCATTTTAAAAATATAGTTACCCTCTCAAACTGCGTACAATAGCTGTTAATAGTGTGTTGGGGGAAATCGTGCACATGACCCTAATATATTGGTATACTATACGCACTAAAATAGTTAAGGATCTATAAAATATTATGATAATTATCTGAAATTGTATTTTAAAAAACTCGGAGACTATTTGTCCATGTATATAAGACATAATGAATAAATGAAGCAATACAAATAATATATCATTATTCATAATTACAAGTATGATGGARTCCGTGCAAAAACGGGACAATTCCACTTTTCAAGAAACAAAAAAAACCTCCTAAATTATCTGAAGCTGGGTGTTTCAACGGACAAATCCACACTGACCACACTCCGTGAAAATACATCGATACATGTCATGCGACTATACTGATTTCATTCAACATAAGAAGTAATAATTAATTAATATAATAATTATAAATTGAATTATTACCGTTACGCTTAGAATCTAAAAAGTATAAAAGGTTGCTATGTATACAGATAGAACACGATGACGTAATGGTAATTGGTGACGCTCTCACAGTGTTGCACAAATTTATAGAATGACCCCAGCCATAAGACACATCCATTTCAAAAAACCAGACAGCTTCAGTTTCATTATTTTATTGACAGGAGATCAGATTTGTCTCGTTCTTGTACAGATATGATACTCGTCAGATTTTTCGTGACCGAAAACGGTAAAAACCCATTTCTGGGTTTTTACCCCCCTGCCTTTCAGTTATACGCAATATCACAATCAAATCATAAACTAAGAAGCTGACTTTATTTAGAAATAAAAGATACCTACGTGTCTATAAATTTGTCTTAAAAGAGAAAATGATTGAATTCTTGAAAGGATTATAGTGGTTTGTCCAGTGTCTACAGTTTGTTCCAAAGTTGTTTTAMACATCTAATATATTTTATTATTATTCGATACTAATAAACTATATAAAAACGACTTAACGTATGGTCTGGTAAAATAAAAAATTGACAATCATTGAATAAAGTTAAAGTCAAGCATTACAGATGAAGCTCAATAAAGTTAATATGTGTAAGACACGCACATATTATGATACGCGTAAAACTGGAAATTAMGGTTTCTCCAGTTTCTTGTTATAGGTTGCTATTATATAATATTATTTGTGTAATATATTGGACATACTGTTCTTAATATTTCAGTTATAATCCATGTTTTAGATTCTTTTAAATATTAAAACAGTATACGCATTAATTTATAATRCACAAGGGTTATTAATGAATTAAAATGTTTAAAAAAAAACTTAAAGCGAGATATATAGATATCAAATTTGAGATTTGATTGAGCTGGTTTGCTGAAAATATCCCACAAGACCTGAATACCTGATACCTTATAAGCTCTTCTATGGTTATATTTATACGATATTTTATTTAAAGAAGAAAAATGTACCTACGAAATGAAAATAATGTTATAAATTGTACTTATTTGATGGATATATTTTTTATGGGTTCTCGAAATGAAAAAATAAATAAAAATTATATACAGCGTTGAGCATTTGATTATTTATCGACGATATCCCAATTATGAACATAATATAGACAATAGATCAATTGACAAAAAAACAGTAGGTGCATATACCTAAGCTACTAAAAATATAATACCTATGCTGCAAATTGACAAAATAACTAACTATACATTATTGGTAAAAATGTTTTGGCTGCATTTTTAGTTAGTATACCAATATATATTAATATGAGAACGGAAATAATTAACGTGATGCTTTTAGAAGTATGTGTTGGGCATTGGCTTACTAAAATATTTATAATAAGGGGACCGGTCCAATGTGTGATATACCGATAACAGATACTTATATTTTAATGAAAATATAATCGCAGTCGCTTACAACGYGGTAACTTCAAATGATGAAATTCATACTCCGGTAGAAAATAACCAACGAAATTATGAAAATTCAGGGACTGTGGATATTTGGTTTGTGTTKTTATAAAGATAACAAAACTGAACGTCGATTGTTCATTGTAGAAAAAAGGAATCGACAAAAGTTTATACCAATAATAGAAAGATAAATCGGTACAACGATTTACAGCGATCAGTGGCGAGCATATAGTTCTCTGAAGGACCATGGATTTATTCATCAAACTGTAYATCATACTGAAAATTTTTTGGATCCAAATACTAAAGCTCATACTCAATAAATAGAGTCGTTGTGGAAGTTAGTCAAGTCCAAGTATAATATAAAAGTAAATSGTGCATCTCCACTATTATTAGACCGCCAACTTAAAGAWGAATGGTSGCRGTCATGCCACCCGATACAAACTAAAATATTTGATGATTTTTTATCAGATTTAAAAAATTTTGCAGTACGAATATAACACTCAAAACTATAGCAAGTTAATTACACATTGGACCAGCCATTTATTGGTAGATCACACATTGGACCAGCCGTTTATCGGTAGAGCACACATTGGACCGGTCCCATAATAAGGCTATTTGAACAATTTCCGAGATGACTCACAAATATAATAATTAATGGTTAAAAAACCGGAGAACACGCTYTGATGTCTAGCTCTAAATGTAGGATATTTATTACAAAATAGATATATATCATTCACACAACTATTAAATATTACGGATACATTTATTAACTATTTATATGAATGATAGTAATATATGATTAAACAATTGCGATATAATATTGTGTRCAGTTACCATTGAATATAAATTGTATAGGTACCATGTTATCTCGATTGAAAGCTAATTTGCCAAAACTAAATTATTTATGGCGGTGTTTTATTTGCTTTTTTACTTCATACATTTTATTGCTGGCATTAACATTCRGGGTAATGTGATCCCTTGTTTAAGCTTTAAAATTAAATATTTATTGTACGATGTACCTACTTATATTTTATTGGTGAACRGTTGTTTTTATATGGGCTCCTTTGGGAATAGATAATTTATAGCTTAATGCAACAATGCTGTTTAATATTCATTATTGATAATTTATTTATTATGTTTATTTTTGTCATAACTAAAGGTAACAGTTTCATAACGGTTATTCAAGGCTTATATTTTTTTCACTGTAGGTATATTTCATCTGAAATGAACATTAAAAATACATTTTTATTTACCTATGGGTTTGGGGCATTGAAAATATAAATTATAAATATGAATGACAGTTGTAGACACCTATAGACACCTGTATTATTAGATACAATATTGATTAAAGATAAATTTAAAAAATATATTTATGTAAATTTTACAGATGTATTAATCTTTAAAAAAATAATAAATTATTTATTTATGGATGTAGCCTATAGTATTTAATATTTTGCACGTATTATAAATTATACCTTTAAGATGTAACAGATGCATTGGTAGAATTGGCTCTTGAGCTTTGTATGTTTTTCACTTTTACCAGAATGGCCTCTTAAAGTATTTACATTGGTATTACACATTTTATTAAATTTTATTAAATTATATTACTAATATTATTATTTTTCACTCGAATAATGTAATTGTCATACATATTTATTATTTTAATTTTTAGTATATAGAAGACTATAAGGTTAAAATAGTTTAATTTTTTTTGTAATGCCCATCACATTCCTAATGGTAGGTACATCTATAGACAAATGAAATTTATCAGACTAATTGTTTTTCTGCAGCAATTATTGTGTTATGCTCCATTGCAATTTCTTAACACGAAATGAAGTAATATTATGATTGCCGTATATTTTATTGACATTGAACATGTCCGTCATACGTCGATAGAAACAATAATAACAAAA